TGCTGGAATGAGGGTGGTGCTCCCACTCAGCTGAGAATGATTCCATTCTTGTTGTAACAAATTCTTGTTATTGACACATAAGCAAAAGTTGTTGTAAATGTTTTATTTATATACTCTTGTAATTTACTTCATTCATATAATAAAAAATTTGATTGTGAAAGTAAAAATATAGCCAGTACATTGCTGGTTTTTAGCTCCATTAGTCTTGGTTCAATTTCTTCAAGAAATTGTTTTATACAGTTATTTCACCCCTTCTGCATGGACGTGGTGTATTGTTGGTGCCTCCCAAGCACCTAACTTTATACCTTCTTCCACATACTTTTCCACCATCGTACAATGTAGGATTAGCTCCTGCTATCATGATGCCTTGGTTTCGGTTGCCATAACATGCCGATGCTACAAAATGTTTAACTATATGTGTTATTCTGTTGGAAGTCTTAAATTTAGATAATAGGGTTTTATTAACTGCTCAAAATCATGCATATAACTAACATTTGCAAGCATAAATAAACATAAAATATATACTTACGAAGATAGGGTCGAGCATAGTAAACAGAAGTTCCCTGCTTGGAAAGAACAACTGCGGCAAGGCATATCAACGTGCCCAACAACATAAGAAGTCGAATTTGATAGCCCATTGTCTTTAGTACTAGTGCTTAAAGAGTATATGTTGTTTGACCCTTTTTATAGAGGCACAAATGTGGGACTTAATTGTTTCATACTCTTTCTGTCAAACAAGTCAATCATTACGTTGAAACTTGTTATGGGATAAATTCCTTATCGATTAAATATCGAATATTAAAAGGTCCATCTTATTAAAAGGAGTAGCCCAAATCCTTATATATTGGTTTATATGTTGGTATTTTACTAATGTGAGATTTATCTCTTAACATGTTTTAGCAAAATGGTGGCTCGTTTGAGCTGATGAATTTTGAAATCTAGGTGCTCACTTTTTTTGAATCTTAATCGGATCGAATTGCTCGTTAGAGTTTAATAGACACTGATACTATATTATGACTTAATGTTCCATCTTAAAATGTCAATAAGAGGTATAGTCCAAATCCGTATACATTGATCTATATTTCAATATTTTACCGACGTGGAATTTAACCCTTAACAAAACTGTACCACCCCAGTTTAATTATTATACAGTATATTGATTTCTAACTTGCATCGTGTACAAGACTACAAAAATTTTCTTCAAGTCTTCCACTAACTACGCATCACATACAAGACTTAAAAATTCTTCTCAGTCTTCCACTTACACTCTCTTTCGCTGCTAAATTTACGCGAAGACGATTTGTGCCCAGATTTTCTTGGTAGAAAATGACTGCCATGAAGAATTAGGTAGCTAACAGCGCACTAAGTGTAAAAAGAAAAATATATGAACAACAATTTCCATTGGTACAAATTAAAAAATTTTAAAAATATATCCTATAATTTTTGTATATGCAGAAAAAATTACCAAGAAACAAAGGGACCTTACCTTACCTCGAAGATAATACAAAAACTAGTCACAAAGTGTCTGCCAAGCTACTCCAAACATCTAACCAAACCACTACTAATTCAATTACAACCACACACAATCTATGTTTCAGACCAATCTTCAATCTATGTTTTGAAACCTTTGTTTCGAACAAGTCTCATAGAAGCAAAATCCAATTTATCCATTCGAAGAATGCCCGTATCCTAGCACTTGAAATCTATGGTTTCTATATATTTTAGATGTCAATGGCTAAAATATTCAACTTAATATGAATAATTTAAGTCGTGTAATATTGAAACTTACAATTTTATTTAATACAATCATGATAAAAAATATATATATAGAAAGTGAGCTTCGCTCTTGTAATGTAGAGTTAAAATATACTTTCTATTTTAGAGTTAATTATACTTTCTATGCACATCTCCAAGAGTTTCTTGGAACCTAATATTAAATTTGTCTTTTTAAAATAAAGAGCATCTCATTTTTTGAGAACCTCTTGGAAATGTCGATCAAGAAAATGTAATACCCAGACCAGGAAACCTTAAAAGATTTGATAGGTACTACTCATACCAACAAGGTGCGCTTTCTTTTTCGGAAGTCCATCGTTAGAAACTCTACAGTTAAGCGTGCTTGCCTTGGAGCAATTTTATGATGAGTGACCCCCTGGGAAGTTTTTTCAGCGAATGTACGAGTGAGGACAAAGTATGGTAAAAAGACCCACGTTGGTACAGTGGGGATAGTACGTCATCGATCTAAAGGCCGGGACAACCCGTTAAGTGGGACCCGAGTCGTTACAAATGGTATCAGAGCCTGGTTGTCAGCCGGAAATCGGGAACTAAGTGCTATGCGGGACAAAGTGCTATGCCATAGGGCGAAATCCACCTCTTGAACTCGTAGGAGCGATCTCTAGAATCCCAACGCCTGACAAAGGATCCTCAGATGGATCAAGCGCGACGAGGACATCATAAGTCTAACGGGGGTGATTGTAATACCTAAACCATGAAAGTTTAAAAGATTTGATAGGTACTACTCATACCAACAAGGTGCATCTTCTTTTCCGGAAGTCCATCGTTAAAAAAACTCCACAATTAAACTTGTTTGGCTTGGAGCAATTCTATGATGGGTGACCCCATGGGAAGTTTTCTCGGCAAGCGTGTGAGTGAGGACAAAGCATGTTGAAAAGACCCACGAGTATAGTGGGGACAATACGTCATCGATCTAATGGCCGGGACAGCCCGTTAAGTGGGACCCGAGTCGTTACAGAAAAGATGCAATACATGGACTTTTCCAACAAAAAAAAAAAAAAAGGCGCGCTGAAATTTTGTGCAGAAATTTCAAAGATGGCAATCTGATTTTGCGAAAATGATTGTAATCTGTCTAGGCAAATCAGTTGATGCTAATCAACATTGTCTTTGAAAATTTTTGCTTAGATGATGTTACGAAAATCAAGTACAGATCAATAAGTGGATGCAAACAAAATATTTTGTCTGAATTTATATGCTTGACATCTTCGCTCAAAGTATTATCCCTAGTCATATGGATATCTAATCATCAATTTTTATAGCACTTGAGGTCAGGAGCTTTCTCTCTCCTTAATTTTCAATCCAACAAATTTAGGTGATATGTTTAATTAAAAAGTAAAAATAAATGTAGTACAATTTTTGAAGGGGCCAAGTCTCACCTCGAGCTAAAAGTGTAAAAGAAAAAACTTATCTCCGTAAAGAGACGGGGAGGACAATGTTAAAGAACTACACTTCACGCGACTTAGACATCATGCACCGAGTGTATTTTCTAACACATGATCATTTTGAAACGGGCTACTTGAAAGGAATTGAATAAATTTATTTGGTATCCGAATTTAGGAAGTTCATAGCTTCCTCACAGTTAGAAGCGTAATAGGTATATTTATATGTCTTTGAGAAAAATGATGTCTGTGCTCTGATATTCAATTCCATATTGCTCAATCATTATCAATTAATTTGACTCAATATTGAGTATTGAGCATCAAAATAGTCATTGAGTTTAGGAACGAATAATTAAAGGAATCAAGAAAATTCAAACTTTTATTCTTAAGCCAACCAACGAAAATAAAACCATAGTCTTGCATTTGAAAGAAAACTCTAAAACTTCAAGTATAATAAATTTGAAAAAGATTTTAACAAAATGGATCTTGATCATCACTTGAGTGACGGACCATATTAAACAAAATCAAGTTTATAATCTCTATTCCTCTCATAAACTTAATTTTGGTTTGTTTGGTTGTGGGATAAATATTTTAAAAGATTTTGGCAAATTGAATCTTAACTGTTACAATAAATTAAGTGATTAGATGTGTAATTAGATTAGAAAAATTGGTGATTTTGAGTTCTTTAAGAGAACATAACTAAATGAAAATTAAATCTGTGAGGAAGAGAATGAATTTGGGAAAACTAAAGGCTTCTTAAAAAAAAAGGTGAGGACTCATTTTAGTTTCTCTCTCTAAAAGTGAACTCTTTCTCGAAATTTTATTTATAAATAAATTTCATGCTAAACAAAAATAGTCATTAAAAGTAAAATTAAAATGTCAATTGACTAAGAAGAACGGCATGCTATATATAATAAAATAGCAAACTATATATTTGCATAGAATTAAAAAAAAATTATGTTCATATATTAGAAATGAATAACGTGAATGCCTAGAAGTGATAAACAATGAAGAACTTGATGATTGATATATTTGAATTTTCAGCGGCAGTTGTAGAAGTATAATAAATATGGATTGATTGAGGCTATGAAAATGTATTAAGGTTCGAGTGGTATATTATGAAAATGGAAGCGTGTCTTCTCACATAAGATAAAATTAGTCTTACTGTTTAATTTTTTATTTAAAATATCTTTTTTATGTAAAATATTATTGTCATGAAAGATGAAAATTTATTTCCTAACGTATGTGCTGTGCTAATACCACTCCTCGGAAATTATCGTTGTTTAGACCCAAATACAAAATTAAAATAATTAAAAGCAACTAGTTATTAATTGCTTTTAAATTATTAAAGTAATGAATTCAATTAATTCATATGTTTAAAAAATTATAAATATTCATATGAAAGCAGTAAATAATAAAATAACACCTAATATGATCAAAGAGGAAAATCCCAACTCAAAATAAAAACCTTTGAGTCAACTAGAAAAGTCAACTTACAATTAGTCCACACACTACTAAACCTTAGCTGACTCTGCCCACCTAACGTGTAAATCATCAAGAAACTCCTTTGATAGTTCACGTTCGCACTTCCAAGAACTTGGAGCCACTTTTATCTATGTTGGTTCACCCAGAACGAATCTCGTTCTTCACTAGAACTTTGTCCTCCAATGCTGGAATTGCAAGAACTCTAAAGGCTTACAGGTGAAGATTAGATTTTGTTTGGTGTTTGATCAAATGATTTTATTTATCTTTTTTTTTTTGTGTATTTTGATCCGTTGATTGAGGCAAAAGATACTAGAATATATTTTGGATCTTCAAAGTACGTTCCCTTGACTTAATTCAAGGCTCAACCAATGTTGGAACAATGTGTTGGATTCAATATGAAGAATATATATAAGGTGGTTAAATCAAGGAATCAATTGAATGTGTTTTGGATCCTTAAGAGTATGATCTCTATGATAAAATAATGATTCAACACACCTTTGGATGTTCCATGAGTTATATATTTATAATAGGAAGTGTTTGAGGTTGAATATGATTGGAAAATAGTTAAAAATTGCGAAAATAGGGTTTGGCCACATAACAAGGCCACTAGAGTGCCACACTGGTGCCTAGCGAGGGCCCCACTCTCTTATGGGTGCTAGAACGTCTAGAGGGCGTCCTGGGAGCTCCTTTTAAGTATTCGTCTATATTTTCATCATATATTTATCTCCCAACATCGGATTGAGACAATTTAAAATGTTTTGGAAAGATAACCCAAATGACTAAATTTCTACTAGAAGTAGTATTTTTCAAATTTGAATGTTTTCTATGAGAAAAATGCATCGTAACTTGTGACTGAGAATTGGACCATGACTTGTAAATCACTTTAACACTCCTTTGATTAATAATTACATTTTATTGATCATATGTAATCTTCTTGGACATCTTTGACTCCTCCGAAGACTATACTATCAACATTTAACTAT